CTCAGCTGTTTCTTCTCCTGTCTTATTTTTCGCTCGCTTGCTTCCTTTTCCCTCTTTTTTATAACTTCTAGGATCACCCATTGTCTCAATTTTTGTTGTAGTTTTGTATCTACTTGTGTACAAAAATTGTGTTATGAAATTTCCTTGTTGGCATGCATTTTTGTCATGTAAGTTATTTTTATTATTTTTTTGTTGCTACTTCCTGCCTTTATTGTTGTTGTTTTGCTGCATTAACACACTGTCATGTACACATGTAGGCAAGATACATTGGTGTCTCAAATGAAAGTTCTTAGGGTATTATGGAGTTTGTCCATGGAACAAAAGTTGGAGGAATTCCAAAGATCGTGAGCATTCAGAACTGCTACAATCTACTCACCCGATGTTGGTTTGAAGGTAAGCTTACCACTTTTATCTCCATTTTCTGTAACTTTTGCCTGCTCTTTGGATTTTAAGACGGTGACTCGTTCTTTGTTCACATTATCTTAGTATTCTATTGTTATTAAGTTAGTAGTGATGTCTAATATGAGCTTGCCTTTGCTTTGCAGATTATGCATGTTACATATTTGATGTTTTTGCCTATTTGTCCTATCCCTATCAGTAGAAATGCATCATTATTGACCCTTGGGGCTCTTCACTGTTCTATTAATTGCTGCCTTAACCTTTTTATGAAATTTGAGACTCTAAACCCCAATATCTAATATCATGTTCTGCATGCCTATTCTACCTAGATACAATACAACCTACAGGCAACAGCTATGTTTGGGTACATATCTAAGTGTGATCTCACATGCCAATGACACAAATTTGTACCAGAGGGGACTCCTAAAAATAGGAGACGAGGATTCGACAATCATGAAACAATATCCAAAATATAAGACATCTCAATCTTGCTTTTATTTGGTTTTTTGGCTCAAAATCATTATTTTGATACATAATTGCTGAATGGCATTTTTATTGAAATATTTGTCATATTTTTTAAAGTTGTGAGGGATTTAACAAGCGGATTTGTTGCTTGAATTTTCCATTGCTATTTATGTTGAATTTTTTCAAGCAAGAAAAATTAATACTACCTCTGTTAAATGTTATGTGCAACTTTAGAATATTTTATATCTCACAAATAGTACTCGAAAGTTGCACATTACATTTAATGGAGGTAATATGATTTTTTGAGCCCAATCAGATAATTATAATAATTGAGTCAAATGTGGTTGCTAATTCAAATATCTGTTCCACAATCTAGGGTTCAATTTCACATTATCATAAATTTTTATTTTAGCATATCCAATTTAGGGGTCTTCTTTGGCAAAGTATTGAAATATTGCTCATATATATACTAAAGTTATGAAAGATTTAACAAGCGGATTTGCTGGTAAAATTTGTTCGTTTTACCTCACCTTTTGACAAAATGTTGCCTGTTTATGATGTCAAAGCTTTTTAACTAAGAGTTTAGCTCTAAACATATCTGTAATTACTGACTCTGTTTTGTCTATTAGTCGAGTTGATGTTTCTTGGTGAATGATGGTAGTTAGTTAACTTAGTTTATATTGTTTTGTATTAGTATAATGTGTGCAGCTATAATGACAGGATTGGTATGTTTAGGTATGATTAGGTTAAACCTTAGAAATTGCTTGTTGAACATGAAGAAACTGATAGGATTATATAGTTTAATAAGAAGAAGCAGTGAAATTAGGAAATCCCATTGTCTTTCTTGAGCAATTGAGCATTAGTCCTATGAGTATGAATTAGACAAGGACTAATCATTTGGTTTGATGTCCAATTGTTCAACAATAAGTGAGCTATGCGATTACAAGAGCTGAAGCAATGGTTGCTAATTTAGGCCACTTCTCTATATGATTTGTTCAAGCAGGTCCTTTGCGTTCTCAATATCATATATACTTCTTATAGGTTTCATCATTGGCTCACTACTACTTTTTAATTTATTTGAACAGTTTACTTAAGATAACATTGTTGTTTTAAACTCTGCCATAGGATATAGTCATGAAGGGGCATTGGCATGGGATGTTCATAATTTGTAGTTTCAGTTGTGGTTTCTGGTATGGATAAGCTATTTTAGGTTTATTGTAGATCAGCATAAGTAGGATGGTAGTTTGAGCTTGAGCTTGCAGCATAGCTTCATGGAGAAATTAGAGAATGACAGTGCTATATGATCTTAGTCACTAAGTTTGTGCTTCATATGCTGAAATGTAATACAAAATTACAGAGTAAAATTTTTCCTTCAACCTTTTGTTATCCCCCGTATTATTAAATATTTTATAAATCAAATTTTATTTTATTTATAATATTTATTTGTATTTTTCCGGAATTTAATTTCAAAAGTTTCAAATTATTAATATGGGTAAAAAAAATTATTTTAGCACAAATTATTTTATGAACCTTCATTCTATAATTTATGCCCATAGAAATTTTAGTATTTTATGAACCTTCATTCTATAATTTGTGCAGTCACTTTGTGCATTTTCATCGAATTACGACGTGTTCTTGTTGAGTTTGAGAGCCTATTTTGCATTGAAATTTCATCATAATAGGCTTATAGCGTGTTAACTGTTGTTACATATTATGTATATCCTACAACGGGTGTAATTTCGCACTCACACACATTTGCCTCCCAATTTGGTCAGCTTCATGAGTAAATGGTGAGGGGAATTTGAAAGGGTGTAAAAGTGTAAAACTTCACTCGGGTGTAGGATGGAAATTATAGTTGTTACATGGATGGTAGTTGTGATGACAGAATGGGTTTTCCAACTCAAAAGTAATGGATTTACTTACAAGAAAAAAGAACTATTGACTTACTTGGTTTACTATAACTTAAGGTAGTGTCTAATTTTACTCCATTTGACTTTTGAAATTATTTATGCTTTTATTAGTGTTCGAATGCAGTAGAAATGATGATCTGATAATCAAAGTGTTAACAACCTGTATGCATAAAAGAAGATGATGATGCCACTAACGTCACCTGAGGAACGACAACTTTAGAGGACAATTTTTGGTAACGACAAAGGTAAAATCAAAGTATGGTCGATTATGCAAAACCACTGGTTCAATCAGACCCTAAACCCCCCTTCCGTGCTTTGCTTTTCTGCAGAAACAATTACTCGACCACACAGACCACTGGTTTAATTAGACACTTGTTAAATTCGTGACCTTTTTTTTCATATTGCCAATATTTATTTGTTTGATTATGCTGGAATTTTTGACATGATTGTGTAATTGTTGAATTTTGTTTTTATATTTCCTGGTTTACTCAATTGTTTGCTTTCTTGCTCAAGATTGGTTAATGAATTAGACAACAGAAAAAGCAATACCTTGAACAGAAAAGCATATAGTAGACGAAGAGCTGTCTGAAAATGAAGCAATTATTTTGAAAATGGATATGCCTGCTATGTTTAGTTTAGTACAATCAGTTGTGTATTATCTGCTCATTTTGTGGAAGTTTTTCTGTTGACTATCCGTTTTTGTTATTGTATTTGGATCATGTGAAGGACTATTTAGTTTACCTCAAATTGTGAATTCATCTTTCAAATTTTATATTCAATTTTGATCTTTGACTGCTTCATTATAATGGTAATTTTTTGGTTGTGTGGATAATCCAGAACCTGTGAATGAAAATGGAGGGATGAGGGTGGTGACAGGAGTCACAGGATAATGATAAGAAGATTCTTAGTTTGGGTTTAGGATTGACTCCTCTAGATTGTTTTGATGTGTCATTTATAATCAAAGAGAGGATGACAGAGGTACATCAAAGATTTAACTGAACACAATTGGAGTTGAGAGGCAACAGTCAACAAAGAGCCAAAGATCAGCCCCATTCAAAGGTCACAACCATGCTCCTCAGCTCTAGATTACATGTACGAGTTCAAGTTTTCATAACTTTCTGCTCACAAACTTATAACTCTTTGTTTCATTGGTTTACTGGTAATTTTTTTGTCCTTTTGATTTCTTTGGGTTTTCATCTCCTAGGTACTTTTCATTATTTTATTATTTTTTTTTTCACTCAATTTTGTTCATTAGATTACTTGTATCATTGTATGTACATATATCAATATATCATGATATTCTTAGTTTCCAACAATTCGTCTATACTTGGCCCATATATGTACTCTTGCATTATTAATATACATGCCCAACATTTCAATAATTATTGTTTTGCATATTGTTAAATGAATTAGTGTTATTACAATTTCTATTGCTAATTAAACCGTGGTTGCTGTAAGATCAACAATATTTACATACAGAGGCTAGAGGAATATTAAAAGAGGAGATTCTAGACAGAGATGGAGGAAACCATCCTTATAGAAGGAAGATATACAAGAAATCATCTTTAATGTAATTGTGGAATATATAAAGAAAACTTTCTAAATTTTGTAAAGTCATTAATATTATACAGCTGCTCTACATATAAAGAAGAGGATTTGACATTAAAAAGCGGGTGTTGACTAAAATTTGTATAACCATCAAAGTGTTTTGCAAGGATGATTTCTTTTAAACTTAGATATTCTCAAATTTGCAAAACTTATATTTGTAAAATTTGCAGCATTTCCAATATTGGTGAACGTGGTTAGTATTTCCTCTATATCCCAGAAATTTATTTTCCAATACTTGGAATTGTCGGGATATTATGACCTTTCATCCATCTTCCATAAATAAGATGACCTTTGGTTTATTTCGCAATAATATAACCTTTGACACCCATCTTTCATGAATAGGATATTTTTTTAACCGGTTGTTGAAGGTAATGTGGAGGTAAGATGATTACTTGGCAATGACCGTTGGAAATGTTTGACCTTTTTAAAAGACCCCCCCCCCTCCCTTTTCAATTACGAATTCATTTCTTCTTCTCCCCTGTTCTCCTCATATTTATTTAGGGAGACAAGGTTAAGAGAGAGAGAGAGAGAAACATTTTAAGAGACCATTCTTAGTTGTGTTCAATTGTAAAAAAGACTTAAAAGCTATGAGGGAGGAAAATGGATAAAACAATAGGATTGTGAAATGAAGAAAGAAAAATGGCGAGGGGCTTTGTTTGTCTTAACAATCTAAAATAAATAAAATCTACTAGCTCAAAATTCCGACCACTACCTTTACCTCTAGCAAGAAATTCCATAATCTTATATTTTCAGAATTCTATAAATCAAATAACTCTTTTAAATATACTCGTTCAACCACGAAAGGTCCATCATTATGTCGTCGAAATTATAAGTAGCATTATTAGTATTACTACTTGTATTACCAACCTCGAACGTTGATGGCATACTTGTGTGGCCGGGATATTCATTTATGGTGCTATTGCTTGTACTTCCAACCTCGAAGGTTGATGGCATTGAAGAACTGGTGCAGGGATGCTCGATTGTAGTACCGACATCTACGTTCTCAGCAGGTTTTATGCTACCACTACTGCTTGTACTTCCAACCTCGAAGGCTGATGGGATAAGAAGACTAGTGCAGGGATGCCCGATTATAGTACCGATGGCTGCGTTCTCAGCAAGGTTTATGGTACTACTGCTTGTACTTCCAACCTCGAAGGCTGATGGGATAAGAAGACTAGTGCAGGGATGCCCGATTATAGTACCGACGGCTGCGTTCTCAGCAAGGTTTATGGTACTACTGCTTGTACTTCCAACCTCGAAGGCTGATGGGATTGGAAGACTAGTGCAGGGATGCTCGATTGTAGTACCGACGGCCGCGTTCTCAGCACGTTTGTCATTCAGTACAAGTTGTCCTTCCTTTTTATCAGTCGCTACTAGTGGTGAATTTTTCGACTTCTTTCTGCCTTTTCCTTTGTTTTCCTTTTTGTATATGATACATAGCACGTAATCCAACTGTATACAAGTTTGTCAAAATAAAATTAATTAATACGTTAACATTTAATATACATACAAATAACAAAGAATTAAGTGGAAATTTTAGTCGATTATAAAATGTCGGTTATTTTTATTTACAACATTTAGATTATGCACTATTCATATATTCCAATTGAAGTAATGGATTATTAACAAGCTTTATTATGTGAGACGGTATAATTTTAGTCAAAAAAGTTACAATTAAGTTTAAGTTTATTAAGTTACCATTGGTTAATTTTTTTCTTTTTTTTTTTTCCCATTATTTTTTTTAGACCAGAGAGTTTTAATGAGCAAACAATATAAATAGCTAAGTATTGAGTAAGATAATTACATACCCTTGTACTCGGATAATCTTTTTTCAATTGAAGTATTTCGGACGATTCATGGATCCAATATTCGTACATGCCCCAAATGGTCGTAATTGGTTTAGAATCATCATCTTTTTTCTTATGACTCAAAGTCTTTTTAGACTTTTTCTTGTGATTCAAAGTCTTTTCATTAGAATCGCCTATTTCCTCGTAAGCTAAAATTCTTTTGTGTCCAATAAGTATTCCATAACGCTTATCGGTAATATCGAATGGTCTTGATATGGCTTTCCATTTACCGTTCGATGCGCTTCGTTTCGGACGACCCCCATTAGGATACATTTTTTCTCTTGGGGTAAAGAAGTACCACCTCCCATCTTGTGCGGGATAGCATCCTGTAAATAAATCAACATTACAATTACAAATTAACCCGGTAATATTAAAAGCAAAGTCAATTTTAATGCAAAAAAAACTAAGATAACTCGAAGTTAACAAAAGATTTTATTTTAACGATTAAGCCATATAAAACAATAAGAGTAATTTTTTTATTAAATGTCTTCAAAGAGACAAGATGCTGAAAACCTAATAGTGTAGAATCAGCATGCAAAACACAAAGAGCAATATATCCACCGTTTGATTTTATTTTATTTTCAATGTTTAGGTGCTAATTAGAAGACCAGAAGATTAAAGAAACTCCAGAACATCAAACTTTATGCGGCCGCATAATAAAATCGAATAGACGGAAAAAAAAAATATGATACAAAATAATGTACTTTTTCTTTAGGAACAAAATGATGTACTTCGTATGTGAATAGCACTACGAAGTTAATAAATACTAGCAACAGTTAATTGTATTACTATAAAAAAAAAAAAAAAAAAAAACAGTACAATTATAGGATAGTTTTACAATAGCTACATTAAAATTGTAGCCTTGACTGAGTGTATCTTAAACACTCCAATTAATAAAATTTATCTTATCCATTCATTGAGTTGACTTTTGACATATTAAAAAAAAATTGTTCATTAAGTTAAATATAAATAATCCTTATAAAAAAAAAAAAAAAAAACTTAAGATATAAAATTAAAATTATGATAAATTTTCTCAACACTTTTAAAGAGCTGAGAATTCTTGTCGATCTTCTTCTTCTCTTTTATTTTTTTTTTATTTTATTTTTTTTATTTTATTCTGGTTTTGTTTTAATGGGGGATCGGATAATTCATTCGTTTTATGTTTTTTACATTGGAGTAAAGAAAAATCAAAGGCAATTTGATGGATGGACAAGGTAATAGTCTTCCTACAATTAAATGATTAAGGGTACCATTACTGGTATATTGTACGGCCTTTTATAAGTGTGTCACCAAAATTAAATTTTAATCAAAAGACTAATTTGTATTATACTCCAGTATTACTCGTAATATATAGCATCAGTCATCAATCAATCATCATGTATGGCATGCCAATAATTTGATTAAAAATTTAGCATGATTCGCTCTCTAGAATTTATAAATTTTATGTCTCAAAACTATCATGGAAGCTAAAGGTTTTTAATGTAAAGTTTTAATCTTACATACTTGTGATAACGCTAGGATGATTTGCGTAAATATTGACTTCATGCATGCGATTTGGGGGCAAAACTTGGCCATTGATCTTGGGATTGAGATAGTAAAGGATGAGTTCTTCGTCGTAGGGATTAAATCTGTAACCGGGAGGAAAGTTATTGAAGAAATCTAATTGTCTTTCATTGGCGGGATCATCGCTACTTTGATCATTGTGTTGTTCTTCTTTCATGGTTCAAATATTTTTTGTAAGAAAAATCTTATGTTGAATATTTTTGAATTATACTTGAACCTTTTTGTTTAGTATATATATATAAGAGTCTTGGGATTACACCAAAAGTAGTACGTTTAATTAATTATTCAATTATCAAATTTTTATCTTTTAATATTTGCATCAAAATTTTTTTTTATCTTTTAATATTTGCATAAAAAAAAATTATATCTTATAATATTACTTGTATAAAATACTATCTTTATTATAAAAGTGTGAGAATATTTTTTATTTTAATTAGACTAGTTTGTTTTCGGTTAAAGTACTTAAATTTGCATGTCATTAGTATAATAGGATAAAAACTGTTTAAGTCTAATTATTTGTATTGGAATTTTTGTTTTTCTAGGAATTTTTTGTAAGTGCCATTAGGCTATATTTTATTTATGAAATCTTTTTTCTTCCCCTCAAAAAAAAAAAAAAAAAAAAAAAAAAATAAAAGTAACTCCGCCATAACCTTGAAATCTAATATATCATATAATATCATATCATACCACTAATATATAAAGCCGGTCTCACAATCAGGCTACAAGACCGCGACACTTGACATTTCAGTTTTTCACCAAACGTCGTTGGATAAATTTTTTAAGATAAAATTGTTGTATAGAGTTTTATAATCGATAGAATTCTAATATTTCATATATACAAAATTAACCATAAATTTTAATAAATATCCTATAACTCTGTTCTATTTCAAATTCATTTTAAAAAGTTTGGATAGATTTTTAAATTAAAGAAAATAATGTTGTATATAGTTTTATTATCGATATATTTCTAATATTTCATATATATAAAATTAATCCTAACTTAAATAAATATCTTATAACTCGGTACTATTTTCATCATAAAATTTGTTTTGAAAAGTTATTTAAAATAAGATTCATTTATAATATCTTTAATTTATTTACAAAAACAATAGAGAATATAAGTTTTAATCAGGAGAAATAATTTTAGTTTTGATAAAAAAAATAGTTTCAATTCAATAAAATATAATTTTAGTTCAGTATGTGTACATATCTTGCATTATCAAAAGGGATTTATGACCGTATTTAACATTCAATTTAAAAAGTGTATCATAAACTTTTATCAACCATCTGGGCATCGTCCGGGCACAAAACTAGTATATATATAAAGGGTAGTTTTTTCCTGAGTTTTTAGAGAGCCACGTAGGATTTAATTTTCTTAGCTCGCCATGGAGAATTAAAAATTTTAGTTGTAGCCAATTAAATAAGAGATTATTAATGTCTTTTAGAATTAAATAATTCAAATACCACATAAGCAAAATTGGCGAATGAGATTTTTAAGTTTAAATTAATTAAATATAAACAAATTATCTTTTGATATTAGGAAATTTATCTAAATATATCACAAATTTTAGCACATAAAAAAAGTTATGTTAAAAAATTCAAACAAACCGTGTATCGCACGGGTTTCATCTAGTTTGTCATTATAGACATCACAATAAACCAAACTAACGTTCCTCAAATTTTTTTTTTTTTCTTAAAACAAAAAACCGAATTAACGAATAAGATAAAAGTGAATAAAAAAATTAAAAAAATTCTTAGTCACTTAGTACCTATACATACATTAAACTATCTATTACCTAATAAATTATTAATTATAATTAAGTTGTTAGTGCAGTTGATGACCCTAATCTCCGGGATTTTCGAAGTGTGGGTTCGAAACTTCGGAAGTTTGAAATTGTAATTAACAAAGGAATAAAAATATAATGGCATATACTGCTCAGTCCTACTCACACATGATAAATGCAGATTGCAGAATGAAATCAATGAATGAATGATAAATTCAATAATCAATATGACAATATCAAATTATCAAGTATTAAATCAATATAAATTAAACAGAAATTATACTATTATACGGCATTACGGCTCAAAAACTCAAATTAGTCAAATATACGGTCTGTGCTACAGCTTTATTACAATTTCTAATACATCCATATTGGTTACTTGTATATCTTTATTATAGATTCGTTATAAAATTCGGTAAAAATCGAGCGTTTGAATAAAATATTTGTTTTTATACTAGACTAGACTCATTGTGATCCCATTTATGAACTGACAATATTGCTAGCAGGCAAAACTATAACAGCTCGTCACACATATAAAGTAATAATCTCATGTTTTAGTAGCAACATTATTATATTAGTGCTGATAATAATGATCATAGTTTCAACAACAGTAAGAAAGAATGCTTGTGACAGAATTTCATGAATTAAACAGAAATTATACTATTATACGGCATTACGGCTCAAATACTCAAATTAGTCAAATATACGGTGAAATAGCATATGAAATTCTACAATTTAGCAAAACAAATCCCTAAATTAAGAACTTGAGAAGTAAATTCGTAATGTATATTACTATATTAGGCTATTAGCATATGAAATTAAGTAATTAACGATTTAGCAAAAAAATCCCCAAATTGAGAACTTGAGAAGTAAATTCGTAATGTATATTACTATATTAGCTTATGAAATTAACGATTTAGCAAAAAATCCACAAATTGAGAGTAAATTACATAATTACATTAGATGAAAAAACCCCAAATTCACTTAATCCCTTACCTCACTACGGCTGACTGGCTGAGGGGCTGCGACGACTGCGAGTCTGCGAGGCTGCGTGCGTTGGCAGCGTTGCTCGGCTGCGGCGGAGTGGGGACAGCCGGAACAGTGGAACACGAGAAATAAATCGGGAAGAGATGGGTTAGGGTTTTGCAATTTGGGGGAATGAGGAAGAGGGAAGGCAGTAAGAACTCAGGTCTCAGGAAGTCAGGAGTTATGGGTTATGGGTTATGGATTTAGCAAAAAAAGTGTGAGTTATGGGTTTTGAACCCACAACTCTAGTGTGATGGGAAGTAAAAACAACCACTGAGCTACAGCTATATTTGTTGCCATATAATACACAAATATTCTATTTAAAACTATTTCACTTTTTTTTTTAAAAAAAAAAAGTTTTTAATTTTTTTCAGAAAATCAGTGAACCCACATTGGATCCGCCCCTGAACCTAATGGTCTACTCATTACAATGGAATGAAATTGGATTAATTGAGGACTTAATACATTTTTCCGCAGTATGTAGTTCATGGAATGATGTTTTCATCATGGTTAAACGAAATAGGGTAGCCGAGCATGAGCACGATCACGAGGATGAGGTTTGTTTGGGTCGTAAGAAAATCTATTTAACATGACAAAAATAAGTGTTTACTGTTTAGAATTGAATATACCACAAGCCTCTAGGAGGCGGTGTTGGGGTTCGAGGTATGGATGGATTGTGATGATAGGCGGCTACGACGACAAGCAAGTTTCGATATTTAATCCCATCACTAAAGCTCAACTAAGCCTACCATCCCTTGATTTTGATGAATGGGCTACCATTGATTTCACAGTACGCAAGGCAATTGTAACTCTGTCATGAGTGTTCATAAATCAAAGCTCCCTAATTGTCAGCATAATGCTATTTACTTTATTGATGGTAAGAATCGGGGGTTTGTGTTAAATACTATACCCCATGGAAAGGACATGGGTAAGTTTGACATGGCGTCCAGAGTGATCAAACGCTTTTACCAAGGCAACGATACCTTGTCCAGGGTTTTTGCTCCTACATGGTTTATGCCCAAATTTTAAGCTAGATGTCTTTGCTGTAATTCTTTTTGTTTTGGGAAATTATCAATGATACCCCCCAGGTTTTGACTTCTATCAATGATACACATCATTAAACTTTCATTATCACCGGTACAACTAAACTTTTCCCTAAATACCTACCGTGACCTTGACCGTTAACTAAACGTTAATGAAGCTGTGTTCAGCGTTTTTGTTAATAATTTAGAGTGTCGGAGTGGAGCGTTCGCTCTATGGAATCGCGATCGCGCCAGCTAGGCGCGACCTGCGACAAAACCGCGCATAAACCACGATGAGTTTCTGGAAAATCTGGAAAATTTTGGAGGCGCGCCCGCGTCATGACATGGCGCGACCCGCGCCCAAACCGCGCATAAATCGCGCTATCTTTCTGGAAAAATCGAAGTTTTTAGGCAAAGAAGGAGGCGCCCCCGCGCGGGCAGGTGGCGCGCCCGCGCCTCTTCGCTCGCGCCCGCGCTTTTTGCCGTTTTGCGGTTTTATACGACGATTGATTCTATTTGATAAAGAATGAGTTTTTCCGAAAGAAAAACACAGAACATTATTCTCTGATATTCTCCCTAAGTTATTCTCCATAATTTCTTTCAAAAATCTTGCAAACTTTTGTGAGAAATCTTCTTGAATTTTGCCTTCTTTGTGAATTATTCATCATCAATTTGATTCTTAGTGCAAAGAACAATTGGGCTGACTTTTGTATCTCAAAGAGTATTTCCGGATCAAATCCAAGCACCATTGTGGGGGAAATTAAACTCTTTAGGAATGTATTCATACGCCTAAGTCAGTGTGTCAAGGATTGAGACTCAAGTGGTCACCGGTTTTCTCATGTTCATGTTGGTTGTTAAAGCTTGGAGTAGAGGCAAGTATATTATCTTTCACAACTAGTGTTTTCATTGTATTTTCTGTAATACTTTGGCAATTTGGTGTTTGGTTGAAATACATTGGTTTGTATTTGGATTATTGTATAATTTGATTTTGATTATACACAGTTAGGTTTTGTTCCCACAATTGTTAAAGTAGTTCTTGTTATTGAATTACTTGAAAACCTAATAGTTTTAAAGGTTAATTTCCCTCCAAATTTCCCTTCCATTTTCCCCTCCTTTTTTGTGAAATTTCCCCTACTTATACACCTTCCCTTCCTGTTTGCACTCCCCCTTTCCACTCACGCTCTTCTTTTTTCTTTTTGCTTTCATTTTTTTTTCCTCAGGAAAATCAATGGCTTCATCTGGCTGGGCTTCCTCTGGCAGGGCTTCATCTTCAAGCAATAGAAATGGAAGAGGTGATTGGTTTAAAGTCATGAATTGCAACTGCTAACCTCCAAGATCTGCAGACATTAGGTTTTCTAACTCTACAGCTAATCTTGGAAGGCCATATTATAAATGCAGGTTATGTGAATTCTTCATGTGGGTGACTGAAGATCAGATTGTAAGGGACATAGGAGGGAGGCAAGGTTCCATGGCTGAAGCATCGTCTGTACAAGCATTAAGGGCAAAATTTGCAGAGTTTATGCACAAGACGGATGAATTTGCTGATTTTTTGTATTTGGTTGTGAAATTGGCTGTGGTGATGTATTTGGTGTTGTTGATTGTTGTTTTGAAATAGTTGCCTTTAATTTGTTGGTTTGAAATAGATGAACTAAGTTGTATTGGTGTTTTACTTTGAAATAAATGAAAGTGGTGTATTTTGGTATAATCTTGCAAGTTTTTGTTGTTTTGAAATAGTTGCCTTTAATTTGTTGGTTTGAAATAGATGAACTAAGTTGTATTGGTGTTTTACTTTGAAATAAATGAAAGTGGTGTATTTTGGTATAATCTTGCAAGTTTTTGATTTAATTGTACTTTTTTAAGTGCAAAAATAATAGCAATTAAGTACTGAAACTTATTTCATACAAAAACTCATATATATCAATCTAGCAATTAAGTAATGTTGCATTGCCATACAAAAAATCATAGCAAGTACTGCTGCCAATTTAGTACTAAGTTCAACAATGAAATAAAACAAGTTCAACAGTATTTAAAGCTTATAAAACCTGTTCAAAAACCTACATAAATTTGTTAAAAGTAAATCAAAACCTACAGAACTACTCATGCATCTATGATATCAAATGTCAAGGTTGAGATTGTGACAAGTCTTGTGGTTGGCTTGCCAATTGTGATGATGAGAGCTCTGTTGCAGATGCTGCAGCTTTGGACTGCGCTCTAGTTTGCCTTGCAGCATTTGATTGATCCCTCACTCTTGGGTTTTTAACAACCATGGCCTGAACTGACTTAAGTTCCTTTCCAGTCAAACCCCCTTTGCAAGTTCTAGCAATGTGCCCTAGATTCCCACAGTTGCTGCATTTAATTGTTCTAGACCTCTTCCCTGGTTGGTCTTCACCTTCTTCTCTCTTCCTGTTTCTACTTGGCCTACCAACACCCCTCTTTATCTTAGGGGGATGAATGTGAGGGGGGTGGTTAGCATCAACAGGTGGCCACTGACTTGAATCAGGAACAGGGTTTATAACATAGCTATAAACTTCCTTGTAGGTTCTTGTAGTATACCAGGAGCTTACATAATTGTGAGGATCAACCTTAGCATGAAGCATTGCCCTCACTGCATGTCTGCAGGTGGTACCAGAGAGTTGCTAAGCTCCACATGAGCAAATTTTGGTGTTGAAACTTAGAGGAAACTGGGACTTCCCCTCATGTCTCATACTCTCCTGGACTTGACTGAAAAGCTCTGCAGGTGGAGGTTGCTTTGCTGATTTCCCTGACCAGCTTTGCAATTTTGGGGCATAAATCATTATCCTCCTAACTTTGTGCTCTTTCACTCCTTGAAGCAATCCTGACCATATAAACTCTTCTAATACCTGCCAATTATGCCAATTACTATTATTAGAACACAAAATCAATTGATCTTTTATGAGAAGTAATAATAAGCCAAATGTAGAAGTATTACCTTCAAGCAGGGTTAAGACAGGTCTGCACCTGTCAACACCTAGTGTCGAGTTAAAACTCTCAACAAAATTAAAGGTGTTTGAGTCATTGCACACATTTGGATCGAACTTATGTTTGTTCCATTTTGACTGATCTCCTAAATCAGCAAACCAAGTCATAACATCATCTTCTCCTTCCTTTTGCAACTTTTCCATTGCTTTTCTGAAGGTGAACTGATTTGTTGCATTGCATGCCCTCCAGAACAAAGTATACATCAAAGGACCTGGGAATTCTTTTTTTGAAATTCCTGCTCAAATGTCTGCAGCAATACCTCCTACTTGCATCAGGCCATACTTGTGTCAGAGCAAGATCAACTCCCTGTTGGTGCAAGCCACAAAATACTCTAGGTTTAGTACTAAAAAGTTATGTATAGAAAAGCTAAATTCAACAGGTAAGAAATGTATTCCTTTTGTCTGTCAGATATAATTGTCCAATGTTGTCTACTTGACTGCATGACTATGTTGTGAAGATGCCTGAAGAAATATCCCCAACTTTCTTTGTCTTCAGCTCTCACTATGGCATATGCTATTGGATAAATCTCATTGTTGCCATCTAATGATACTGCAGACAGTAGAACACCACCATAATTGCCCTTCAAATGTGCCCCATCAACCCCAATCAAAGGCCTGCAACCTCCTAGAAAATCCTTCCATTGTCCAGCAAAACTTATGAAAATACTTGAGAACAGATTGACCCTAGGAATGCTTTCACTTAGTTCCCAAGCTACAAATGCCTTTGACTCAGGATTAGTGAAGCATATCATGTCAGCATACCTTGGCATAAGAGAGTAAAACTCATCATGACCACCAAACAGTTTTTCAATCACATACCTCTTCAGCTTGTACAATGAAGCTTGTTTCATATATATTCCAAACCTCTGAAACAGCAGTTCATTCAATGCTTTGCCTGGAATGTCAGGATCAGCCCTAATATCTTCCATCACCTTAGGAGCAGCCCACTTCACAGAACAGATAGGGTTGTAGGTTTCCAAACCCCTACAGTTATGAACATCTGGCCATATTTTCTTTATTGCCCATGTCTTACCATCAACTAACCTACTAGCATGTAATCTCCACTCACAACACTGTGCATAACATGTCACAGTGTATCTCTTATTGTCTGCAGCAATAACCTGTAAAGCAAAACCTTCCTGCACTGCATAATCTTTCAAAGTTTCCCTTAAATGAGCCTTGTCTATGAAAATCATCCAGGGTCTAAGTACAATCTTCCCAAATTTCACCTCTTCATACATTTCACCATGCCTATACAGCTGCTGAAAGTAGTCATCATCATCATCATCATCATCATCATCATCATCATCTATGAAACCAGACCAAAAACCCTGGTCCCAATTGTCTTCTATTTGGGGAACCTCTCCCATCTCAAACAGCTCATCTTCTGGTACATCACCATCAGGGATGACTTCACCATCTGAATCTTCATCAGACACACCACCAATATCATCATAATCCCCATCATCACTGTCATCATAATCCCCATCATCAATGTCATCACAACCCCCATCACCACTAGAGTCACTAACAAAATTGACTCTCCTTCTAGCATTTGGTTCAGTGCTTTTCTTAACCTCATTTGGCTTAGCACTGACTCTAACTTTAGCACCAATCTAAATGCCCTTCCTAATTTGTGTACTCTTAGGAATTTTTCTAGAAAAAGCAACAGGTTAGTGGTTGGATTTGGACCTCTAGTGTTTGGACTAGATGAAAAAATGGCAGTAGGTTGCTTGGTAGTAGTTTGTGCTGGTGAAAACCTAGGGCTTCTTCTAACAGCTAGTGTCTTAAAAACAGTGTGTGGTGACATAGGAGATGGGGGTAACTTCTCACCACCAGAACATATGGTTTTACCCTTACCCTTGCCCTTTGCTGTACCACCAGAAGAACCAGCAACTTCCTTACCCTTACCCTTGCCTTCACCCTTACCCTTAACCTTCTCCATGTACTTCTCAAAATCCTTCCTACCCTTAGTGTAATCTTTTGCAGACTGGTTAGCACTATTCAGTTCAAACTCCTCATGTAAATCACTGAAGGTAGCATCTGGGTCATAATTTAAAATCCTACTATCAAGCTCTTCTAATGAGGGGTTAACAGGAGATTCAGGAATTGTTGCTTGAGGAGTTGATTGGTATGTCAGTCTAAATCTCCTCCTAGGTTGTAGCTTGCTCCTTCCATAATTAGAAGGGTGTTCAAGTGAAGTAACAGGGTTTGAAGCTTGGTCAAAAAGATTAACAGCTTGGACATTAAGAGGTGGTACATCTTCAGGTGGTAGTTGATTAACAAGTGGTACATTTTCAGGTGGTAGTTGATTAAGAGGAGGTGGTTCATGCAAAGCTTGGTTGGCTTGTTCAGCAGCTATTTTTTTTCCCCCTAAGCTCAGACACTAAATCATTCATGAAAGTTGAATTTTCAGTAGTCCCAACCAAAATCTCAAAAATATCAGCATTAGGGAAGGTCCTAAACATACTAATCATACCACCATCATCCCAAATAGGCACATGCTTTCCTTTATATGCATAAGCAAATATAGGGTTCAATATAACTACTCCCTTTTTCTGTAACCTATCTTCAAATTTTATCATCAAATCCATGAGATTGCACATATCTGGATCAGCTTCAATGTCAACATTATGCACCTTATACTTAAATCTCAACACAACCTTGTCACTCATTTTGCAAATTCAGATGAAATTAAACTAATTTAAACCTAGGCTCAACATGCACACACAAAAACACGCAAACATGATCATATGGAATTATATATCTAAAAAAATCCAAAATTTACCACGCAAACATGATCATATGGAAATCTAGAATGTCTAAGAGCAAAATCCAACACCAATTCCAAATTGTTATCATAACCAACAAATTACACAAGCATACATACATTAACTTAAACCTAACAATTTAAACCAAAAAATCCAAAATTCCAGAGAGAAATAAGCACTAACCTTTTAAAATCCACAAAGTATCGCTAAATCTCCAAGGATTTTGCTTCACTCCAGCGTCAATTAGGGTCTTACAGAAGAAGAAGAACAGGGCCAGGGAGAGAGTGAAGAAGATGAACGATCAAATTTTTGGAATTTAATGTTGTTGGTTGGGCTTGGAGGGAGGGTTAATGCGTGGGGGGCATTTTAGTCAAGCCAAGTTAGACCAACACAGCTTCATTAACGTTTAGTTAACGGTCAAGGTCATGGTAGGTATTTAGGGAAAAGTTTAGGTGTACCGGTGATAATGAAAGTTTAATGATGTGTATCATTGATAAAAACCAATACCTGGGGGGTATCATTGATAATTTCCCATTTGTTTTTGAAGACATGCTGTAATTCTTTTTTAAAAAATAAATATATGGAAAATTTTTAAATTACCACCCAAAAATGACACTTATTTCAAAATAACCACCCGTTTAATTTTTTTTTTTTTTTTTTATTTTACCAACCCTTAAATTAAAAAATTATTCTAATTCCCACCTTTTTCAAAATTTCGGTGGTTTTTGACTGATTTTCCATTTGTGGGCCCACCTCCATTTCCATTTTCCGCTGCATCAACCGCAAAACCTCTTTCCTGCTTCATTTTCTCCATTTTCTCCATTTTCCTTCTTACCTGAAACCACCATGGGAGGCCCCACCTCCATTTCCCTCTTTCCGGTGGTTTTTCCTTCTCTTCTCCATTTTCCTGCTTCATTTTCTCTCTCCTCCTTCTAACCTGAAACCACCATGGGAGGCAGAGGAAGGAGCCGCACTCAACGAAAACACTTCAAGCAAAGCAGAGATAACGTCTGGAAAAATGGCTCCAAATCCGACGTCGCCGCCGACGGCGAGAACAACTCCTGCGATGCTGAAAGAAAAAGCAGGGAAAACGGGGAGCCATTGAAGACGCCCAATTGTTGAAAACACCCAATTGAATTGTCCCATGAACCCTAATTCCCAAATCTACCTATTTACACCAATTATAGCGGAATTTGGTGAAGGAAATGCGAATTGAAGTTGGGAGAGCTGTTATAAAGAGAAAAATGAGGGGGGGGGGGGTGGGGGGAATCAGTCAAAAGGGTTAAAATAGTAGTAAGTAGCCGTTAGGTGGGGCCCACAGACGGAAAAAAACACCGGAATTTTGAAAAAGGTGAGAATCTGAGTAACTTTTTAATTTAAGGGGTAGTAAAATAAAATAAAATAAAAAATTAAACAGGTGGGTATTTTTAAAATGGAGTCATTTTGGGTGGTAATTTAAAACAATTTAGAAATATAATAGTGCTGTCAACTCATTGTTTTTGTTGATCCTCTCTTATATTATCGCTTATGTACTGATCAAATTTACTAATTTTAGAAATAATGCTTTTTACCAATGCATTAGCACACACACCTTTATTAGACAAAACGTTTAAAGTTGAATTATCACGTTATGTTGGTGCTTAAAGACAGATCAGAGTACCACAAACAGAAATTTAGCCTTATTTTCAACTTACAATTTCCTAGCGAGTTTTTTTATATATACTCTACATAGCTGCACCTTATTCAACTCATTCTTCAAGTTTTCAACCTCTTGTTTCATAATCTTCATCTGTTTTTGAACCTTGAAGCATTCGCTTTGCTTGCTGATAATCATCTGTGCACTTGTTCTTCTGTACATTGACCCTTCGTTTACCATTGACTTCACCATGTTCACTTGCTGAAGAAGCATAAATTGTGCGTTCATATTCAATGGCAGCCTATCATTCTTCATCGCGTGCTCACGTGCTTCTTGTGATAGCTTATGGTACTCCATGACTCTGCATACCCCTTCCCTCTCCTCCTCAGACAAGTTTGGGTGTGCCTGCATTTCAAACATAATTGACTCAAATCAACATACACATTGCAAATACATGCAGTACACCATATTTGAATTATTATCTTAATTAGCAAAACTTAACCACAAAGTGAAAAAAAAAAAAAAAAATGACCTTTAAATCAAACTGAGTAAAAAGATCTTATTGAGAGCATACCTTGAGGTATCTATCTATAGCTCTGTAGAGATTGTCATCAGAGTATCTAACATTCTTTGGGAATAATTCTGCAAGCATTCGAAAATCATCAACTGGAAGAGTCTTGTCCCTTGCTATAAGTGCCAGAAAGCCATCCACTAGCCTTGCAACTACAAAGATCTTCGACGCAGAATTTCTAGAAGCAAGTGAAACATAAGCATCCACTATCCTTGCTACAATGTTAACATCATACAAAGTCTCACTTTCTCCATAATTTTTAACCAAGAGGTCTACTGGTTGACAGTTCTCCAAGGTTGAGGCGATTCTTTTCTCCAGATTAGACAATAAACTGGCATCGATTTTCATCATCAAACCAAGCTTCAAAAGATGAAGCAAGAAATTGCTAGGTACTGAGTTTTCCTCAACAGGTATTATCCGAATTAAGCTCTCAACAATCACCCTTCTTACTTGATGGTTTATGCTTTTGTGGGTTGGTATCCGAACCCCAAATGAGATTCTCGACAGCCATTTAGCAGTCCAGTAGGCTATGCAGGACCCCAAAACCTCGGGTTTAACTCCTTTCTTTCTAATGAAAGTCATTACTTCAATGAAATGATCAATTCTAAGCAATGAAACATCTTCAAACCACCAATTCTCTGCTATTTTTTTCTCATATGAAAAATCAGTGTGATTTTCCACCCAAAAATTGAAGCATTGTGATTCATCATCGCCAAGAGAGATTGCAGTTGGATTTGTACAAACTTTCCAAGCAATCGCCTCAGAGCACCTTCTCTGGATCTGCAAATCTCTGGCATATGAAGAAATTGTTTCACAGGTTTTCAGAACTTGGAATGTGTCTTTCCAGGAAGAAAATATTATGAAGCTTAAGAAAGTTTCGGTCCTGGAAATGAGGTTACCAGTCTCTAGATCATCAACCATTTCCAAGAACTTTGCAGCACAGTATAATGGTGCAGCATTATTAGCTGTTAGCTCTACTTTCCAACCATAACAGAACTTCACTATCAGCTCGAATACCTCAGCTCCACCCGGAAGGTTATTCAGTTCGACATGTAAGTTGTTAATGCTCATGCCAGCATTTTTCTTCTCAAACACAATTCTATTCAGATAGGCACTTCTTGAGATCATAGGAAGCTAAAAATGAACAAGAATAAAGAAGTATCATGTTAGCTTAGGACGGCAAAGAGCAAGAAGCATGGGATAAAGCCATACTTCTCAAGAATTTAGCAGGATGAGAAAGTAGCTTAGATAACTAAATTGAACTGTAAAAGAATTGAACTATAAAACTCCACACATAAACACATCCGTATCACAACCCAGAAGACCTAAAATATTCTCTAGGCTTCCCCAAATGCATCCTTCATAAGTTCCCAAATAACTTAATAACACCCTCATGATCATGATACGCAAAATAGATGTCCCCCAATTTGAACTTAAGATGTACTCGTACCCAAGTTTATAAGACGGACCTTAGCATTTTCATAAAATCTTAAATCATCAAGGACTAGACAACATTTTTATTTTATTATAAAAACATTCTACAGAACATTTTTATAACTACGTCCTTGAAATTAACAATGAAAATCCCCAAAATCCTTAAAAAACTTCTCATTGTTTCACATTAAAAATCTGTACTTAATATATACGATGTGTGAAATTTATATATCTGACAGTTATAACACATACAGTCAGTAAGGAATAGAATAAATGAAATGTGACACTATGAGAATAAATTAAGAAAGAATTTTCATTTAAAGGCAGGATTTAGAAAATAGAGGAGAGAGGGAAACTTGTATACAATATGCAGGTGGAATTTTCGCTTCTTTCCAATTTGTACAACCAGATTGCTTGGTACTTTTGTCCGAACAAACCTGCAGCCAGCAGAAGGTTCTCAGCACAACGAGATAACCCAAAAATTAACAAGAAGCAGATATGGAGAACTGAAAGGGAAGAGTTAGAAGGCAAAATTATACCAGTAAGTGTCTTTTCTTTCTATAGCTTCTGCAACCATATTAACTGTAGATGGAACAATCATACAGCGGTTATGCTTATCTGCAGATACAGAACTTCGCCTCCCTAGCATAGAGGCTTTCTCTTGCCCGACTAGAAGAGATTTATTCTTCCTTGCAAATTTGTAACTCGTAAGCTATGCCCCAAACTCCAAAAATCTTTCTATGTAGTGATTTGAGGATAAATAACATGTACATTTGATATATATGTGAATCAATGGCCAAGAATTCTGCACAGAGCAGAGCACACCCAGATATGTGTAATAAATGATTTATTTACTGCAGTTGGGAACCAAGAGAGTGTCATTTGTGCTAGTGTTTTCGCATTAAACATCCCCCAAAATCTGATGTTAACATCTGCATGACTTTTTAGTAGAACTGATCCAAATGCAAGATATGTGGCTAGATTTATATGAGTATGATCTTATACCATATGCTTGTGGTTGTGGTTCGGCGTAATGAATACACTGAAAGAAATGGAAAACGAATTAGACAAAATAATTGACAAAGCATAAATGAATGGACGGTGTATTAAGAATAGATGACACCATGTACAGTTCTGGGATCAAATCGTCTATGGCAAGGTTGATGATAGGAACAGATAACCAGCAGCTATAATGGCACAACTACTAAATTGATATAAGCGAAGAACGACTAGTCAAGTTTAAAATCTTTGCACCCAAGATCCTCCTGTAAGAAATACGAACCACAAGTACTGTCAATATCTGCATCTCTTGTTAACAAGAGCAATCAGTCCCAAGACTCCCAACTGAGTTATTACATTGCTTTAGGAGGAACTAGCCCAGTTGGGTATATGAGATAGTCATGAATGTATATTAACACAATCTGCAGTATACGAACCAGGACGAAAGTGAGATTAAACTAGTATGTGATTTGACACTTTGACATACCTGCAGGACTTGCAGCTGAAAACATTCAAGTGGAATTGCGTTCATAACTTATGAATCTTGAGAGAGTTATCCTAGCTCTAAGTAAGATGCTTAAAATATAAAAGATATAGCTTCCTTTCAGGAACTCAATTATGAGATGCATCATAATTGAATTTATGTGTCGAACATTTAACCCTGTTTTTGTTTATGGGGTATAATTGCAAAGTAATAATAGACAAAAGCGTCATAATAAACAATTAAAGAACATCTTGACAGTATGTCCAAAGAAAAGTGATAACAAAAACAACATTTGCGATTTGTCTATGATTCTAGAACACGGAAATAGTTCTATTGTTTTTTTTTTTTATCCCTTTTGTACCACTTATCTATCTATGATTATTTTGTGATCACTTTGCAAATTGAATAAACATTGACATACCTTCCCTCAAAAAAAGAGTTATACTTTGCATTATTCATGAGAGTTAACAATTTTCTTACCCTTAATGACGACAATTTTGGAATAATATGTTATTTTAATACATTTACTCTTTTTTTTTATATTACTAGGGAAACTTTACTTTTTCAATTTTTATTTTATTTTTTTTATGTTTTTTAATGGGGACAAAATAATATTTAGGTTGGAAATTTTGTTCAATTGCACCTTAACTTGGTAGGGAAATTGTGGACTGTTAAACCGTACAATATGGAAGCGATGAAACGAACCCTAATGAATGTGTGGAAACTAAAGGAAAAATTTGCAATTAGGGTTGTTGAGACGAACTTATTTGTTTTCCAATTCTTTTGCGAGGAAGACAAAGATCGAGTTCTTGAAGGAAGGCCCTGGTTTTTTGATGAAAAATTACTTCTTTTACAGGAAGTTGAAGGGGACGAACAGCCGTCAGAAATAAGACGTTCCTCTAAATAAACGCTCAGTGGCTGTCATGTATGATGTAGGTGAATTTCTAGGTGGTTTCATCAAACTGGACGACTCAGATCCCCTAGGCTGGGGAGAATGTATGCGCATTAAGGTTTTGGTAGATATAAACAAGCCTTTCCGTAGTGGCTTGTTCCTTGCTTCTGGACAAAATCAATCTCGCTGGATTGACCTAAAATATGAACGATTGGCAGACTTTTGTTTCTTTTGTGGGAGGCTCGATCATACCGAAAAGGAATGCCAATACAAAGAACAAGCAAAGGAGGGTGATACAAAGATGGCCTATCAATATGGACCATGGCTTCGTGCATCTCCAAGAAAAAGAATTAGAGTTGATATGGCTGAAAGAGATTTCGAGAAAGCGTGGCTTGACAAGCTAAGACTCTCGACCGCAAATAAAAAGCTCCTTCTTATAATGATCCAGATGTTATCGAGGTGGGGCCGGTAGGAGCTGCAAGAAAATTAGTTTTCTCCTCACCTGCTACACATGAAAGTATTCCGGATAAGGGTTCTCCACGGAGCAAAGAGGCTGATTTAAACGTCGTTGATAGTAGTGGTGCGAAGCTTGTGCTCTGAATGGTTGAAAGGGCTAAGGGGAAGGGAGGTGATGTAATGGGAGAGAAGGGGAAAACTGAAGGGGGAGGAGGGATTAGCAAAGGTGGAGAGTGTGGGGAAGGGGTGCATAATTAACAGGGGAGTACACTTGTTTTAGAAGAAGGGGTTATTTTAGAAAGTGTTAGGCCTCAAAATGGTGGAGGAGAGGAGGGGATGGGGCATAATTCAGAAGTGGTGGGGGAGAGGAGTAAAGAAGAAAGGCTAGAGCCTAGTGGGGATGAGAAATTAGAGATAGGTTGAGAAGGGTAGAGGTTTAAGAAAAGTGATGCTTTTGAGAGGAGGAAATAAAGAAAATGTGAGTGAAAATTTTTTGACAAGAAATAAAAGAGGGGAGAGGGGAGACAGAATGTGAGGATGATGTTTGGCATTGTTGTGGTTTTGTGTTTTTTAGTTTTTTTATTTTCAAAATCATATTATATATATCATATAATGAATAAAAAATTAGTCAAACTTAATAAAATCCTGATAATTTAAAAAACAAAAAACAAAAAAATATGTCAAACATGCCCTAAAGTGTCTATTTTGAATTCAGACCGAGCCTTTTATCCTCAGTTCCTCTTTCTCATTTGAAACGGTTACTTTTCCCTTTTAATCTCCTTCAAATTAAAATTCTCTCAATTTTCTCGAGAAAGAAAAACATTGATGTCCCCGTAAAAACCAAACACAGAGATGCAACAAATAGCTCAACCCATCTCCTTAATCCTCATTAAACCCTCATTTTCTCCATTAATTTCACTAACCCACAAATCCAAATACAAAACCCATTTCCAAAAGCCCATAATTTCTGCAAAATGGGGCAAAAAACGATCTGGGTCTCAAAGATCTCACAAACTCATTATCAATTCAATCGCTTACGTTGCTTCCACCTTCAAGATTCTACCTGAACCGTTGGATTCAATAGTCAGAGAATTCTGTCTTTTGGGTGGTGGAAATGGCGGGAAAATCGGGTTCAAGACCGGCTGCGGCGGTGGCGGAGGAGGAAGAAATCGAAAGAGAGATAAATTAGGGTTTTGGTTGCTATTATTAATTTCATCAAGTTTGGCATTATGGGTTGTTTTGGAGAGAGAATATGATAATGAATTGGTGTTCTGGGTTTTCATGGTTTTAGTTTCTGCATTTGCTGTTTATTGCTTGGTGAAAGGATGGAGGAGAGAGATTAAAAATTGGGTGTTGGGATTTTCTTGTGGAGCTGCATTAATGGGTTTCGGATTAAGAAATAATGAAAATTTTGTGAGATTGGTTGATGAATTTAGGGTTAATTCTTTAAATTTTTCTATCATTAAAAAGAAGAGAAGAAAAGGTAGAAGATGGGTATGAACTATGAAGAATAGAAGAGAAAATGTACTGTAATATTCTGTTGTTTACAGTTTACCCTGTTTTTTGTGCTACTTATTGTTGAAGGCTTAGGGTTGCGATTTTTGCTTTAGCGCAAACCCGAATAGTTGTAATCGAGATCTGTTAATGGGAAGAAATTATTTTATAGCAAAGTCTTTGATTGCCTGTTATATTGTTCTTTCTGTTAAAGTTTGCAAGCAGTTCAATGTTACCAACATTCACAACTATCATAAGTATATAGCACTAGCACAGGAAATATGCTGGCTGGAAAATAAAGATGTATAGTGAGTGCGAGAATGGTAGACTCTTGACGTAAAACTGAAAAGACGATACCTTGAGTGCGAAAAGAAGCAGTCCCGAGAGAAATATTTCTTATTCTGCCTGCAGAAATTGATAATCACCATAGTAATCTACCACCTGCAATATAGAGTTTTGGATCCGAAGCAGATAGAATGACATTGTCTATAATGCAAACCAATGAAACAGAGTAATGATTTGGAAAAACTCCGAAAATTATAAAACCAAGCCCAATTCTTTGATAATTCTAAGTTTTCACTTGAACTGTTACAACATTCAAGTACAAAAGCCACAACAAAATGAAGGTCTACTTGAGAACTGCAAGCAAGCTGCATAATGGACTGCATCTCCTGCTTGCCAGTAGTACCAGTAGCAAAAACCCAGAACAATGTTGCTTGTACATTGCAAATTTCGATAGAATGGATCAATCAAACCTCCCTTTGTTAAGCTGTGTATCGGGATGGACCCAACTGTTGCTCTAAGAAGACTCCAATGCAAACTTCTGGTATAATTTAAATAAATCAATAGGCAGTCATGCCTATCTATTTGTTCTATGATATGGTTTGACAACTAAAGAATGTACATAGAATTCTACAAACACATCAAGCTGATGGTTTCTTCTTTTTCACTATGCCCTCAAAAACACCATCATTTCCATAATGGCCGGATAGATGTAGCGAATCAACAGGTCCTGGCAGATGAAATGAGATGGTAAAGTGACCCGGTGGGCACAGGTTCTGAGATTGCATCTCAAATTTCAAGGAATTCTTGTAGACAGTCTTCTCTCCAGTTGTAGTAACACCCTTGATAGTTACATGTCCAGAAGGCACCACATCACATGTGAAATCATCTGTAATCAAGACAACTAATCAGAATCTGGCATTTTCTAAAAATAGCAAGGGTGATAAATAAGCAGGTTAAGGGCATCAAGGTCACCATGAATAGGATTTCTGTTTTTAACACACTGACCAAGTCCAATATAACTCAGAACTGAGGTAGAGTGAATTGTGGAGGACAAATTTCGACATCTTAGTCTCTCAAATGCATTTACATGAAGGTCACTGATGTGCTGAAAATCAACAGTCATAAATGAGAAATTTTGGCAATTAAATGTCGGTGATTTTTCTTTTCAAGCAAAAGAATATTGTTTAAATAACAATTTCATGAGTCCAAGCAGTGTGATGATCATGTTCTAGGCCTTCTAGCCAAGCTGGTTTATATAGTTAGTCCAAGTCAAAGAATCAATATGTAAGAGATATGTACACAAAAGCAAAAGCATTCTACTCCCAGCCAAAATAATACATCAAATGGGTGTATAGATTATTCTTCACAAGACAAAACATGGAAATTAAGCTGGAGTTAAGAAGCAAAATCATGAAATTTCGTAAATTTATACATAAATCTATTTCCTAGGCACTTCAATATGTATAATACTCCGTATAGAATAAGTTGCCATTTGGTTGGAAGCAAATAATTACATTTCCAGAAAATTTTAATTTCCAAACAATTGCATTTCGTGAGAAGTGCTTAAAATTGTTTGGTTAATTAAAAAAGGAAATCAATCGCCTATTAAGGGAGGTAGGTCAGCCACTATCCCCATCTTGTGGGAACTGAGAAATTCCATAAGTGCATTTTCTTACATAGTTACATATAACTTCCCATGTACATCTTCTGGCTTTTCCCACATCAACCAAAAACTGCTACAACGACAACTACTGCTCAAAAGATCCTGATGGATTTGGTATCATTCATATTGAGAAAGGAACTGAAGGCTAATATCAAGTTAATCAATTTTCAAGAGAGATGATACAGTGGGGTACAGACTTAAGCAAAAATAATACTCATATGGGATATGTAAGATGATGCAGTTTGACCAAAATGGCATATTTCGTGAGAGCTCAGATCTCGATTTTCACTTTTTTAATCAGCCAAAGTCCCAATCCAGAAAGTATTCAGTTTGTTACCAGTTCTGTTTTGTTTTTTTTTTTTTTTTGGGAAATCGGGTGCAAATATACCTGCCTTAATGCTGTCAATGTCAGAAAACTGACAGGGTTAACTTTGTACGTATAGAGTAATGAACCTAGATATAAAAACAGAAAATTTCCAAAGTACCTCATTATACTAGCAAGGGGAGATAAATAATCTAACAATAACCATAATTTCTGTATGTGCAAGGAGCAATAAATAGCCAAATTTTATCAATGCATAGCCAACATCAAATCTAAAACATTATTCAGCATGTGCAAGGAGCCAGAAAAAAAGATAATGATGAATCTAAAAATCATGTCTAAATTTGCCAAATTCTGTTTTAGAAAGTTCAGAAGACACCAAAAAAAAAAAAAAAAAAGTTGTTCAGAGATCTCAAAAGATGATCAAAACCAAACACATTGTTCCAGTATATGCAAGGAGCCAGAAAATAAGATATTCATAATGATGAATCGTTAAACTATGTCTAAATTTGAGAGAATCTCCAAAAAGACAAATAAGATTAACAAAATAGAAAGTGAAGTAAATTTTGCAAACTTGAGAAAGGCACCATAATTTTACCTCTTGCAACACCTGGAAGGGACACTCGAAAGAGGTAAGAATCCTCACTTTCACTAATATCCAACTTCCCAAGAACTGGCCCAATTGCTCCAAGGGCTGCACTGCCACCCAAACCAATTCCGCCCTTCGTAGCAGATAAGATAGGACCCCATTCCTCCTCAGTAGGTTCAGAAGGCAAATATACCAAAGCTGGTTTGGCCTTATCTACAGGACCTAATGGGATATCACTACCTTGTGGTGGAATGGGATCAATGTAGGGCATGCTATTAAGAGGAGTTACATTCAGAGCTGGCTGCAGAGGAGCCCTATAACGAACAAAAAAAAAGCCAGTTATACAGTATATTACCACATAGAAAGAATAAAAAATAAAGTGACATGGGTGAGTTTAAACAGATATATAACCCCCACAGCCATGAAAGTGTTCCCAACATTCAAATACCTCTAAAAAAGCAAATACATGATGCCTAATTCTAACATCAGAGAGTATTGTATGCAATTAGTCATATAAAAGTGACCACCATTATTTGTTATGGCCTTTTCACATCAACCATGAAATTCAACATAAGAAATTTTGAAGGAAATTTTGTAACTAACCACCCCTCAAAACACACTATGTACAACTAACCACCCCTTTTTTACGAAATTATGAAATAACACCCCTTACATTAAAAAAAAAAAAAAAAAAAAAGGTTAGCAATCATCACCCCTTCTCATATTCCGGCCAATTTTCCAACTTGCGGGCTCAATTTTGTATTTTACCTTTTTTTCTCTTCTTTTTCACGATTTTTTTTGTCAACCGTTCACTTTCATATTAACACCATCTCATTACCGAACATTATCATCGGTCATCATCACCGTCCCATCATATTCCTTCCTTATTTTTTTTTCCTTCTCTTGTTGCATTCAGATCCATCTTCGAAACCCACCATCAAACCGCCACCTTATTCGAAGCTCCATCATTCATCCACCACCACCAACCATAGCAACCCTTGCAGTTCCCACCTTCCCTCACGCCAGCAATTCCAACCTGCAACACCGTCATCCAACTAGCCCAATTCCACCAAACTGACACAACAACAAACCAGAACACCGCACCACATCTTCAGCGCCGCTGCACTGCTGCACCCTCAACTTAAGCTCCAACACCAATATATCAGTACCCAGTCAAGGTAGTTTGCTCATTTTGGGTTTTAATCGGGCTTTGTGGGTCAAGTTCAAGAAATCCCCAAATTAATTTTCAATAACCCTAATTTCCAACAACAGGTCAAATTGAATGTTTCATTGAGCAATTAATGCATTATATTAGCAATTCAACACATAATTAACAACAATTAACCAATTAATCGAAGTGTCTTTCATTATATAGCATCAAACGAAGTAAATTATTCTTCAATTACCTTAATTTTTCGCTTCAACCTTTTCCGAATTACACCTTTAAGATGAATTATTGACAGGATTTAGAGAATTCTAGGAGAATTTGGAGAATTATGGGTGAATTTGGAGTTTTGTTGAGGAGCATAGCAGGTTAAATTTCAAAATCAAGAGGAAAAAAACCGAGTCCAAGGGTTTAAAAAAAACAAAAGAAACTAGCCGTTACGTGGACCCCAAGATCAGAAAATTGGCCAGAATATGAGAAGGGGTGGTCATTGCTAACTCTTTTTTATTTAAATTTTAAAAATTCGTAGAAAAGGGTGGTTAGTTCTAAATAGTGTGTTTTGAGGGTGGTTATTTACAAAATTTCCTATTTTAAATTTTTATTACTTCTTACAACTTTAGCATCATATATAATATCAAGTTGTGTCGCTTAAAATTTAATATCACATGCAAAATAAATTCGTACCACCTATTAGAAATAAGTACTAAATATCTTCCCCTATGTTTTAAGGCAACACATATTAGCTTTGAGCCATCATTCTAAAAGACCACTAAGTTCTAGTCACTTAATAACATTTACAATTCATAATATATATTCCTATAACACAATTAAATCTGTACTGTTCATATAATTTAAGGCCAAGACATGCCATCCCATATCAATGGATGACGTGGACCCACATCAATGACATACATGAAACTTGTATGTGATTTGCATTTGGAAAAAAAAAATTAAAAAAAATAAAAAATAAAAGGCTTCGAGCCTAGAATCTATCAACTTCTCACTACCAAAGCTACCAAGTGAACTTTATAACTTAAGAAAAAGTACAACATAAAACATAGAAAAAAAATATAAATTAAGCCAGGAAGTGAAGTTTGAAGACGAAACATTTGGCTTGTGGGTTATCAATTACCTTTCTTGTGCATTATACGCCTAAGTAAATTGTGTGATAATTATCAGATTCTTTCTCTCTTTTTTAAGTTACTCTAACAACTGTGTATCTGATGCATTATATAATGGAATTTTCATGTACTCCAACACAATATTAATGGGATTTTTATGAAGTTAACTTGGTAGCTTGATGGTAGTTTAAAGATGTGAAGTCTATGCAAGGTATGCATGAATTCTAATCTTGTGCTGAGTTTTTGAGATGGTATGTATCGCCCCTCCGGCAAAAAAAAAGTATAGATTAAAATATGAGATTAAGATATTTTAACTTGACCAAATTGTTGAATACTTATGTTTTCAATTAGTTGGCAATGATTGGTTTGATGATCAATAAAATTATAACTAAAGATAATTGTAAACCCCACAAAATTCACTAATGGTCTACACCGTGGTGATTGGTGAAATGGTTTTTTTTTATTAAAAAAGGGTATGGTGGTGGCCTGGGCGGTGAAGAGGAGTGTTTGTGGTGAAGTGGTGGTTGTGGGTGCAGCGTAGGCGGTTGTGGTGGTTTTAAGGGCAGTCGAGAGTGGGAAAGGGGAGGGGGTTGGCAACGTGGGTAGGGGAAAGGGAGGGAGTGCGGTCGCCGGCATCCGGCATCCACGCGTTGAGGGGTCGTTTGGACGCCAGCACGGGGAGGGGTGGCTGACTGTGAGACAGTGGCTGGGATTTTTTTAAGTTTTTTCTTTTTTTCTAATAAATTAAATCATTATTTAATTAAATAATAGGTCCCACTTAACGGAACCCTAACAAATTTTGTTAAGTAGTAGCAAAATCTATATTTTATAACTTTTAAAGGTAGCAAAATAAAATAAAATTTTAGATAGGTAGCAAAAGTCAAAACAGGGTATTTTGGTGGTAGCAAAACTCAAAATTTCCTTCATGAAACAATATTTTTGACTAAAATTAGCACTAATTTTTTTTTTAAAAAAGAAAGCACTAAGTTTTAGATTTGCCACTCAAAATCCAGCTGCATACTAAACAAGTTTTTCTTTTGATCCCAGACTAAATTACAACCTTCCATAAATTGAAAATCCAATACCCTAAATTTAAATGAATGTGCTCAGTGGCTCTATCTCAGCTCATCTGAGAGAGAAGTGAACCACACAATTGCACTTTGTGATGAATGCATCTTATACTTTGCATTTTAAAGTTAGGTCAAACAAGAAACAAATTAATGAAATTTAAAGAGTTAATAGTGCCAAATTTGTTAATTTACCACCAAGCTCTTAATTGCGTTTTGAATAAGGTCTACCATCTTAAACCATTCTATGAATGTTTGAGCTCAGAGGAACAAGAGAACCAATAGAGCTGCTAGCAGTACACTATTAGTCCGTGACCCAGAGCCAAAAGACTTGTGACACCCAGACAACCAAATAACTCAAAAAAAATAAATAAATAAATAAAAAAAACACATATGTTCTTCTATTACAAAGACAACAAGACTTGAGTCAAAACTTGAAACATATCTCTTGCAATTCAACTGAAAAAAAAATTTCAAGTAATGAATGACTATCAACTAAAGCAACTTTATCAGCCAATTATCAGCTTTCTAACCGAAAATGCAATAACCTTTACAATCATAGATAAATTCTATATTCAATAATGTTTTATAACTGTTGGAGGATTATAAAGCCATAGGAGTAGTCAAGACATGCCTTAGATGGTATGCCTAAGACTCTAGGGATCATGGCAACCAGAATTTTGGTGTGAGCAAGAGAATCCCAAATCGGATCAATGCCTTTAAGTTGTTGAATTTAATTGGTTTATAATAGAACAAAAACCCTGGTTTCAAGGAAAAAAAAAAATAGAACAAAAACATTTCCATATTATGAAATAACAATTCAAGATTAGAAGAGCCAAGTTGCATGAAAGCATGGCATAAGAATGACTGCATCATATCAATGTATAAGAACCACACGGTAGGCAGTATTTAAACTCTAGAACAGGCTTCCAAAACTTTATATTGGAGCATTTTCTTCAAAAAAAAAGAGGTTTTCTTTATCTACTCTAGTTAAACAAACAATATTTTAAGTGTTAAATTAATGTGTTAAGAGCTTAAAGATTATCGACAAGAACACAGGAAGAATTACAGCATGCATAAATCACTTGTCACAATTTGGCTCAGCAGTGAATCGTTATCAGCTAGATGTAATTCATTGATTATATAATCTCAAATATTAACATTTATGGTAGCTATTGATTCTTTAAACACATTTATGAAAAAAAAAAAAAAATGATTCATATTTCACATTAATGGTAATGAATGATTCATTTCACACAAAAACAGATAGGAAATCATTTTTTACAATAACTTGAAGATCTTCATTATCTCAAAATTAAGCGAACTTGGTCTTCCTCCAAAAGGTCAACCCGCATAATATCTAAACCGTAAGTGTTGGCATGACACATTAAGGGCCTATTCTACACAGCCAGAATCTAATTCCCTATATATCACTAAATACCGCGAATATACAAAGTATTAAACTTGTTTCTCAAAAACAAGCAACGAATATAGCCAAGCAATCAATTTCGCCAAGCAATCAATTTCATTAAAAAGATAACATGAAAACAAAATCAAAAAGTGAGTATCTACACACATAAACAAACGATAATACTTCATATGATTTTTATAGCATAATCTTTGCCGCAACACCACGAGAACCTAGTCAAGAGACTAAATTTCACACCTAACCGCAAAATTAGCATTTGATTCTCACAAACAAGCAACGGAAATATATCAGATATTGAAGCAATCAATTTCATTTAAACGAAGAACATAAAAACAGCATTAAAAAACCTAAATCTATACACATAAATAATCAGCCCTAATTAAACAGTTTCTATTCATAATTCATTCATTATCTCCTAAAGCTTTCATTCAATGCAACCTCCAAAAATCAAAACATGACCAAAAAAAATCAAAAAAACACTCTGAAATCCAAAATCAAACAACAAACATGTGAAACTATAAACTTCAAACAAGCGATTAAAGTAAAATTAAACAGAGCTTCCAATAATCAAGAATTCGAGAAATTACGCTGAGATCAGAACATAAAAATAGCGAAAAAATCGACAGTTTAGCAGATAAGAAAAGAAGAAAGAGCAAAATTTTGTAAAAAAAATAGTGAAATGAGAGCGTTGTTTGGAGTACCTGTTGGAATTGGACGCCATGAAAGTTGAAGTTGAAGCTCTAGAGTGAGGAGAGAGAGAAAGTAAATGAGGAGAGAGAAAGCGAGAGGAAATTGAAATGGGGAAAGTTTAATAGAGAGGAAAACGGTAATATATGTGCCCTTTATTTGGAGAACATTATTTATACACCTGAAATTGGCTAAATGAAGAAACACGACACAATATTTTTGGAGAATTAACAACTAAAATTAAATAGATTGGATATAGTCCGTCATAATATGTCGATAACCAAGTGTTTTATTTAGGGAAACATAGTTTGAGGTTTACAGGAGTCAACTCTTGAGTTGAATTTTAGGAGAAAATTGTTGAATAGGTATCTTTTGTTACGTTAATAAAATTCTTAATATGTTATTATAAGTTAAGTACTTAAATGTTAAATATATGAAAAAAAAAAAAAAAAAGGAAATTGAAGGTTTACGTAAATTTTAAGGAGCTTATTGAAGGTGTGGTGCTTGAAATTCTTAATATACGTTAATTCTTTTCGTGTAGTTAAGTACTTAAATGTTATATATGAAGTATATATTTTTTGTTTTGGCAGGGTGTAAATGTTGTACTCATGTTATAAGAAAAGAACGTAATAATATATTCATGCACGTTCTTACCTATATTGTAAATGAATGATGGTAAGAAATTTGTAGTTGCGTGAAGTTAAAACAATGAAAGTTCTTTATTTTGTTATGTCAATGAAATATCTAATATATTCCTATAAATTAAGTACACAACACTTTAATCTATGCATGAACGCCCTTACTTATAATTGCGTCAAGAATTTTTATACTAATACTTTTATTTGATGTTCTTAAAAACTCATAAATGCTTGAATGTATTCATATTCTAAAACTTGAGGAAAGTATTAAGTAAACTACTTGAAAAGTTGAAACACGTGTATCCTTCCTAACATAAGATTGAAACTTATGTGAATATTGAACTTTTCTTAATCACACATCCTAAAATACAGCATTACATTTTGTACCCCTCATAAGGAGGACATTTCAATGTTTTTTTTATCTTACATTTTTTAAAAAAATCTTAAATACTACTACTATTTTTTTTCTAATTCACTCTCTTATTCAATGCAAAAACTAATTATCAATCTCCAGTCTCCACAATGACTTATGTGGATCAATCCAAGCCTCATTGTCTTCCCCTCATGAACCCTAGCTTAGCCTAAAGGAGGAGGAGGAGAAAAGAAAAAAGAAAAAAGAAAAAAAAAAAAAAAAGATATAGATAATATATTGCAAGAATTACCATTAAATATTGTAGCGTAGGAAAACTCACATGTTCAATATGTATGAA